CCTCCAGCTGCACATACAGGACGATCACCCCCTTAAAAAACAAATAGAATAAAGTGAGACTAGTTTAAATATTGGAGAAAAATAAATGCACTGCCTACTTCATCCAACTGAAAATTTACTTTCAGATTCATTTGCAAGACAAAGTAAAAAAATTACATATTTTCTTTTCTAAAATATTTTTCATAGCTTAGTATATGCCATGCAAAATAGGCAGTGGGATCTAATGGGGAGCCCCTGGTACTCTCATTGTCTGAAGACACAAGAGATTATAAGATGAGATTTCAAATTTTTCATGATGTCATGGCCTTAACAAGAATAATACATACAAAATACTTCAATACTTCTCTATTTAGACATCACAGGGGTGACTAATTTGTAAATCACTCCAATGTATAATTCCTTGTCACATCTGCAAGTAAATTAAAGCAGGATATACTCTATACTGTATTATACTCACTGAAAATCATAGACGAGGGGTGGGAACTTCACACTTCTTTTGAGTAAAGGATACTTGCACAATGGGACCTGCTAAACACACTGAAATACAGAAGAGAGCTGGCAGAGGTTCATTTGGACTTCATACCAATTCAATAAGTGAGTTAGTTCACCTGGTATCTGATCCAATTTTTACAGTACTTTTTAATGTTGCTTTAACTTAATTAAAAATATTCCTTTAGCCATGTTTATACATTCTTTGTTTATTTTCTAGCATATAATTTTATTTAGGACACCATGCTTTATATCACAGCAGCACTTTCTCAAAATAATATACTTGTTTCATTGCTTTTTATTAGTACACAAGCATAAGAACATGATGATACAAGTTAGTACCAGTGACAAATGACGAGAGAAAGCGGTTTGCTGACCATGTATCATTGCAAAGAGGACAAAGAAGTACATTACATGAAACCAAATATAATGCATCTCATTTATGGGGTTTGTGTCTAACTATGCAATTCTAATTTGCAGCTCTAAGCTGCTTGAGAAGTGGCAGATTTTCTTATTGTTATTTTAAAATATATGTGAACCCTCACCTTGTAAAACAACCCATTCAGTTTAAAATAGTAATTAAAATCAAACATATTTGTGTATTTATATAAAAAAAATTATAAATGCCTTTTTCCCCTTTGTTATAAGTAATCACATACCCTGGAGGTAGGGGAGGAGAGACAGCAGAATAGTGATATTCACAGTGAATGGCTGTGTGGGATGGTGTAAGGTGTCAGCACAAGCACAATCATTGGATTAGCTCCCAGAAAAGCCAAAAAACTGACCACACTGTGTATGGCACATGGTACAGCAGGCACATATGCAATGATGTGCTTACATATTCTTTAAATACTGTATGTTAAATAACACAAATACTTTCCTTAAATTAAAAAAATCACTAAGGGCCTACTCATACATGCATGTTACAAGCTGTTAAAATGCATGGTAGTGCACCATACGTGTTTTTGTGGATTGTGGTGCTATTTAATGTCTGTGGTGTGTTGCCATTTATTTTTGGCAAGTTTAGTGTTGAATGTATATTTTTTCCCAAAAAGTTATACAGCATGTACAAGAAAAAGTAGAAAGAATTAAGAGCTAGATCCATATTTATCATAAAAACTGTAAGATTCAGTATGGAAGGAAAATAAAGCAATGTAAGAATCCATAAGCCAGGTCACATAAATGAACATGTTTATCCATACTATAGAAGAGTTCTGGATGGATACACAGTAGTAGAGGAAACTGTATATAATCAGCTTAGAACTGGTAGTCCCATTGGGAAGGATGTGTATGGAAAAAGCAATAAACGAGAAGGGAAGAAAGGAAATAAAAAGAAGAAGAAAAAAGACAAGAAAGAGAATGTCTATTCTGGAGCCAACTCTACTCATGGTCAAAACCGAGTTTGCTTCATATCAAGCTATTTTCAGTATTAAGTATATAAAGAACTTCTAAACTAGTGAACAAAATGTTAGAATTAGCACATTGTACTTTTTCAACACAGACTAGTAAACGGCAGACCTCCAGCAAAATAAAACATAGGTGTCCTTGGTAAATGACGCTGCTCAGTTCTCCAGCATTCTCAGAGGAGAGAGTTCTCCTCTGAATGCCTTTTTATGAAGCGGTGTAGATCGTTTTCTCCCTTCATTCAGAGAAGCGATCTACAAATGCTTGAACACTGGAAAATGGCTGCTTTTACTATAATCTCATGAGATTACAGTAAGAGATCAGTCAAACACCGTTTACTAAGCAGAGGTAAATTATTGCTGCTTTCTTTGCGGTTCCTCCGATTCCCCAGCTCTGGGTTGGAGAATCTGGATGGAGAACACAGATCGACAGTGAAGGGCTGACATCGCTCCTTCATATTCTGGCCATCTGTGTACTGAAATGATCAGTGCAGAACATGTTCTCTGCTGATCATCTCTGTTTCCTATACCACTAATGATCTATGATCAGCAACGATCCTCAGGATCGCCGCTGATTTCTGTTTCATAAAAGGGACACCATAGTAAGATACAGCCACCGAAGGCTGAGAGAGAGAGAAACACAAGAAAAAAAAATTAAAAAAAAAGAAATATTTGTGATGATTTGAGAATATCTCCTCTTTCATATCAGTTTAAAAAATATGAATTCTATTTTCTGTGTTACTGTACTGTATATTTATAATGTGTGGTAAGGAAAATGCCCAGTTTACCAAAGATAGTGCCAACTGAGTATCTACTGTCACTTCCAACATCATTTATGAGGAAATCTCTCAATGGTGAGGATAATGCTCTCATATATGGTTGCCATACCAACAAATATCCCCATCTAAAGACTTCTCCTCTATTCTTGTATTAGTGACAACTTAAAAATGTGGCTTTTCTCTCACTTTTAGTCCCAGTGACAATAGTCCCTAGGTCACACAGAAATGGAAATACCCCCAGATACACAAGAACCTAAAAAAAATTACATGAGATATAACTTTTTCCTACACTATCTAAAACAAACATTTTTTAATCTGTCAATGGTTTTTTTTATCAGATTGTAGCATGCAGAGGATTACCATTGTGTGAGTTTTGATTGAAGGTAGCCATATTTCATTATTTATTTAAAGCCTGATTTTATACAAACAGTTAAACATACAATTCAAAAAACAAATATTGGAACTAGCTTCCTTTCCAATAGATTTTCATGTTAATAAAAGTCTTGATATTCAGGGACACTGCCAGACAGTATTACAGGGTCGTGTACTCCTTGCATCCTCCCTGAAGACTGTATTGTAGCTAAGGAACTGAGCCTGGTTTAAAATGGTTGTAAACCATAGGCCTGAAATATGGACAAAGCATATCCTTCTATAGTGTGGACTTGTCTCTTTAGGACTATGTGTCATTTCTGCCTGCTGCTTTGTTCCTCTGCTATCAGCATTAATCACTTTTGACACGTTTTCCTGGCAACAATAGAAAAAAGGTCACAGGGGACTAGGGAACTCCAGCAAATAGATTGTGATTAACAGCCTCAGCTATGTTCCTGTGTGATGCGTGAAGAGGGGTGTGTCCCTCCCCTTCAATCAGCTCTTTGAGCTCTCCTTACTGAGCTCTACAGAGTGTTATTTCAGATCCCCGCCCCCTACTTTCTGAAATCTCAGGCAACCATTATAAAGTCTGCACTTTGAATGCATGTAGAGAAGAGAAGATAGCAGATAAAAAGGTACAACGTAGGTTAGAGCTTAATCTCTGTATCCCCTGAGGCTTCATTCACTTCACTGGGTGCATGTGAGGGTTTACAACCACTTAAAAATTGACAACTTATGGCTGAACAATGAAGTAGCAGCAGCACACTAATGTCATACATATTCCACTATCTCCTCCTATAACTGTTAGATGAATAGTAATGTGCAAAATTCTGTTGTTCAGGGAGGCTGATATTAAGACTTTGTCGGCTGTATGGGGAAGTGCATTAAATTCCTTGGTAATAAATGCATAATTATATTAAATTGAATTTTTTTATATCTCCCCTGATTTCAAATTTAAAGGTTAGCAAAGCAAGTCTTCAGATTTCAGGGCCCTTGGCACTGTAATATGATATTACCTATTATTGCAGCACTGTCCATTTTTTTACAGTATAAAGAAGCAAACGTACTAAAGAAGTGGCACAACATCATTCTTTATTGGAAACATAAATGTATACAGTAAATCAATAAGCAGGTCATTTTACATCCATTACAGAATTAAAATTAATTTTCTACAAAGACAAATACATGTCTCCATAAATGACAGGTAAGGAACCATTTACTTCTTGTTAGACTTGTTATTGACATGATCCTGACACGCTAAAGGAGGCACTCAGATACTGACAAGGTACAGAAGGTAGAGCCTGGTAAAATCTTACTAAATTCACTGACATATTGCAAGATACAGTATAAGTGAAGTCTGTTGACTTGTTGCTGTAGCACTTGGACATTATTTCATGAACACTCCTCACATAAATTTAATTAAAAAGATATCTGGATGATCCACATTATGGAGTCCATCTATAACAGTTTTCTTAATTATTGACGTAATCTCTTCAATTATTGTTAATTTCATTTTCACAGAAACTGTTTCCCAGGTGTGCTTTTACTAGATAGTGACTGCTGTATCCATGTATCTCTAGTTGGAGAAATAGAAAGATGAAGAAAAGAAAGCAAGTTAGAATTAGTGAAGAGTGAATCCTCTCATGTTATCTCATAGCAGCAGTGGCTATTGTGAAATTGCTCACTGCAGTCTATGTTTTTGCATACATTTCTTTTTAATGAACTTATATGAGGGTGCAGATCTCCTTTAGAGGTAAAACTCTAGCCATGTTTCTACATTCAAATGAAAATTTGTATGGAAATTCTCAGCACATTTGAAAGCTTGATGAATGCCATTCAAAAGTACTTCAACATTGCTTTTAACATTTGATTTTAGAACAACTGGACTTTACCAAACAAAAACCACTCACAGTGCTAGAAATTAATTAGTTTGAGTCAAATTTTCCATCCTGCTCTTTCAAATGTTTTCACCACTGTGATCAAAAATGAATGTTCATTTGATCACTGTATTGTTTAGAAAACTGAACAAAGATTCTTCATTAATGCCACATACCAGTGCATACCAGTGTACATCAATGCCACATATCAGTGCCCATCTGAGCTGCCTTTCAATGTCACCCATCAGTGCCAGTCAGTGCCACCTATCAGTGCTGCCAATCAGTGCCACCTATCAGTGCTGCCAATCAGTGCCACCTATCAGTGCCAGTCAGTGTCGCCTATCAGTGCGCATCAATGCCGCCTATCAGTGCCAGTCAGTGCCGCCTATCAGTGCCAGTCAGTGCTGCCTAATAATGCCAGTCAGTGCTGCCTAACAGTGCCAGTCAATGCTGCCTATCAGTGATTTATATCAGTGTCATGTATCAGCGCTGCCTTTCAGTGCCCATCAATGCCACCTGTCAGTGCCCTTCAGTGCACATCAATGCCAAATATCATTGCCTACCAGTGCACATCAATTCCACATATCAGTGCCCATCTGAGCTGCCTTTCAGTGCCACCTATCAGTGCCAGTCAGTGCCGCCTATGAGTGCTGCCCATCAGTGCCGCCTATCAGTGCCAGTCAGTGCCAGTCAGTGATGCCTATCAGTGCCATCTATCAATGCTGCCTATCAGTGCCATATATGAGTACTGCCTTTCAGTGCCCATCAGTGATGTTTTTGAATGCCCCCAGTGATGCCTGTCAATGCCCATCAGTGTAACCTACCAGTGCCTCCTCATCAGTGCCCATCAGTGCCACCTATCAGTGTCCATCAGTGCAGCCTATCAGTGCTTATCACTGCAGCCTCATTAGCGCACACCAGTGAAGGAGAAAAATCACTTATTTACAAAATTGTATAACAAAAACTAAGAAAAAACATTTTTTTTCAAAATTTTCAGTGGTTTTTGATTTGTTTAAGAAACAATAAAAATCCCAGAGGTGATTAAATACCACCAAAAGAAAGCTCTATCTGTCTCAAAAAAATGATAAATATGGGATACAGTGTTGCATAACCGCGCAATTGTCATTCAAAGTGTGACAGCGCTGAAAGCTGGAAATTGGCCTGGGCAGGAAGGGGGTATAAGTGCCCTGTAGGCTAGTGGTTTAAAGTGGTTCTTGTCAGGAAGATGCTCACCATAGTGCAGCTGAGACCTCTGGGCTTGCACAGCGGTGCAGGCGCAGATGTGCGAGGGCCCATTCTGATGCAAATAGTTGTGCACATTTGCGTGCGTGAAAACACGTGAACACTCGACAGCCCGTTGCTAATGTTGGCGCCAATCAGGCTATTTAAACAGAGCAGCACTATTAGTCTTTGCTGTCTGATCTGCAGCTCCCCCCCCTCATGTTCCTGTGCCTGATCCTGTGATTGATACTTGTGTTTGACCCCCGGCTTGCTTCTTGGACTCCGCCTCTGCCTTCTGACTCTGCTTGATCTACTCTCACCATCACTGACCTTGGCTTGTGCTGAGCAATAATTGCAAAGACCATATAAGTATACCATTTTTTTTTTAATTTTAGCACAAAAAACAGCCTTTAAGTGATTGGCAGCTGTTAGGAGAGAATCCCTACCATTTCCAGTATATGGGAATAACCCTTTTCTGAACTTTGTATAGTGTAAAGAACCACCTCAAGATTACTGAAGTGGATTTTCTTTGCTGGAGATTAAATACTCAATACTTTTCTATTAGGGAGTTAACTTTGAGAGAAGCATTATTATGTGTTACTACACACCCAGTGTACAATGTCAAGATCATTGTCAAAAAATTCCAACAGTTTGTTTGAAATATTTATAATTTTGCTGCCATTCATTAAAATATATATTAAGTGCATTCTGTAAATAAAAATGTTTGTAGCTACTCAATGCATTAGGTATTACAGAACTATTGTCCCATTACATATGTTTTGTTTTTATTGCATATGGTGCTTACTGTTTGGGGTAATATTAAGTGTAAAAGTATACAGGAAATACAGCAAAACAGTTTTCACCAGCTTTACAAAGACACCATGGATTACATAATTATCTCATTTACTCAGAATAGTGCCAAGTCTGTGTCTATTGGCAGTTCTGCCAGCTGAATTCAATTGTTGGAACTGATCTACAGAAAAGACTATTGGCTGCGTTTCTATTTTTATTTTCTTTTGCTATGAGTAAGAAAAAACTCCACCTGTGATCCAGACATCATAAACTACCTCCAGAGTTTGTGTGAAGCTTTTTTTGCTTGTTTTATTAATGACCACTTCGCCCACACATGTCATGTCCGTTCTATATAGTTGCATCTTTTATTTGATAAAAAAAAAGACTTCCCTCTTCCTTCCAACAGCTTTTTCAATTAGGAAGCCAAGTGTGCTCCCTTTGTGGATCCTACATAATGTAGAATACACAAACAATTGTATAATCCATTCACAGCTAATAACACTTTCTGTGTCATTTTAGAACAATGAGGATACACAAACCGATGCATAAAAATCTTGCTTCTAGAGCATTTGAGAGACAGTAATTAGAGGCAAATGATTCAATACACCATGCCCACCAGAAATTGTGATATTGGTTTTGAGTAGAGTTGACCTTTAACCCCTTCCCATCAGCAATCTGTACATAAGCATTCCCCAGCATGATGCACCTTGCTGGGAATATGTTTATAAACATGTACCGCTTTGAAAGACATCTGCCAACACATTGCACAGGTGGTGGCTCTCAATCCCAGCTGTCACTGACAGCTTGGGACCCAGTTGGTAGTCAGACACCAATTGATCAGAAGCTAATCAGAGTGGTTCTTAATCAGGAGGTCATTCTGTATAACATAGTGGTCACATACAGGCTGATAGTTTAATTAAGAAAATAAAAGCCTTCAACTTACAATTAAAAACTACATCTAACTACATTAGCATCTGTAGATCTGTAGTGCTATATGTTTAATACTTGCAATTGTCAGATATAATTACAGTATTAAGAGAAGCAAAATAACATTAAAAAAAAAAACTTAAAAAAAAAACATTTTTTGCACATTTGTTAGCCTGTAATTAAAAAGAAACAGTTTTTTTTTTTTATTAAGAACTGTACTAAAAAAAATCCTTATATGGGAAAAACTGTCAAGCAAACTGATGCATGCTGATGCTAATACTATCCAGGTATCAATGACCTCTGGTCACCAAAGGCTTAGGACAGAACTAAAGAGCAACTGGGGCCATTTATTGCCCACTCACACAGTAATTTATTGGTGAAATAAGTAAATAACACTTCTTTGATTAAAAATGCAGTAACTTTTAAAATCTTTGCTGCAATAGTGAAGCAGTGAAGACAGTAATGATTAGGAAAAGACTAGTAAGATAGACTGTTAAAAAAAATAACCTAAAGGTTATGAGCAATCTTATATTTCAAGACAGCCTCCATATTCATAAACTCATGTTTAATGTATGATTTTAAAAATTAAACAAATTGTGCATAATTGTACCTCTTGATTTAGAAAATCATGACATTCCCTAATTCAGGTAAAATTGACTTCACTTATTATGATGTTTATGATATTTCACATAATTTTTGCATATTTAACTGTAAATGATACTTTATGGTGTCTCTGAATGTATGTGAAGTAATTTTAATTTTGTACAAAAATATGGTTATGTTTTCAGGCTTTGATGTCAATGTGAATATTGAACTAGGCTGTAAAATCATGTCAAATATAAATTAGTCCTACAGATATACTGACTTTCTCCTTGTAAAACGAGATCAAAAGTTCACACAATATTCTATGGGGGAGACAAACTTTACAATAGAAAGGTAGTCATTAAATATTATTAATCTGCCATCATATTCATTGTGATAACATTAACCTTGATAGACTTAATTGATTTTAAGAGATATAGCACATTGTTTAAGGTATGATCTAATGTGAAGGGCATTTCAAGTTGAAAATGAACATTCCGTATATGAAGTAAAGCTGTAAAACATTTCACATTTATTAATCAGAACAAAGCTCCTCTGGACAGAACTCTCAAACTACTTTAATTAATGGAAACATAAAGAAAGATGAAACTGCTCTTTGGAGCTGCTTAAGATGTGCATATATAAATTTAAGTGTTTCATATATTCAGCAGGGCAAGCTGAAATAGCTTGTACCAATTTTGTTGTGTTCTGGTATTTTATTATTATTAGTTCATGTATGATACATTTAAAGCATGCACTGTGAATTACATATGATAAAGACAGTTTTTAATTATTAGTTGATAGCTTTAGAATAAGCCTGTCATATGAGTTGCAATTGATGGTCTCCCTAAAATTAGCGTCAGAGACAAGTCAAAAATACTTTTATTTATGCTTATTTCTAATTAGTTTTTGTGCATATAGCAAAACCTCAGCTTCATACTCATGAGTTTTTTTGTCTTTTTACCTGGGTAGGCTAAATGTATTGGAAGATAGCTTTCTTTAGAGAACTACATTTACAGCATTAAAGTGAACCTAGACTAAGTGAGTATTTGCAATTTTATAAGCAAAATCTAAAATTGATATTCATACCAAAGCAGCATCCTGAAAATGTTACTTTTGTATCCTAAAAAGTGCAGTGCCTTCCTGGTATGAGAGCATGCCACTCCTGTTTCATAGCCTTATATCTGTATAGAATGTGTAAAGTGTGAGAGGTACTGTTCTTCTTACTGCTAGTCTCACAAGATTTAAAGTGGCAGCTCAGGCAAAACCTGACTAAGGCTAAACCTGCTCCCATTCCCTATTCTAAGGTTATTCAAGCTAATCTTGTATTATTATTATTCAGAATTATATATAGCACCAACAGTCTACACAGTGCTCTACAACATGAGGGCAGGCAATACAGTTACAATACAATTCAATTCAGTAGGAATCAGAGAGCCCTGTTCATTAGAGCTAACAATCTAGGAGGGAGGGTCAAGAGATAAACAAATAATAACAGTAGATAATGAGCTGATGGAGAAAATTAAACTACAGTTGTTAGGTGGAGTTAGGCTAGACCTCTCTGAAGAAAAGGGTTTTCAGGGATCATATAAAAGTAGAGAGTAGGAAATAGTCAGACAGATTGGGATAGGGAGTTCCATAGGATGGGAGAGGCTTAGGAGAAGTCCTGGGGATGAGCACAGGAGGAGGTGACAAGGGAGCTAGATAGGAGGAGGTCTTGTGAGGAATGAAGAGAACAATTTGGTTAGCTGTAAAGAAAAGATCTGTAATCTTACCTATTCTGAAACAGATCTGGTCCAGTCTCCAGTGGCACTTTCTGTGTATAGGAGATATTGCTGGCAATGGCTGGACTTTAACTGTTGTTTTTAAGGTGAGTGAGTGCACTGGGGCCCTGGGTGCCCTGGCTGCCATTGTGCTATATGCTTGGTGCTCTTTGCACTCCTGTACTTTTAAG